CCATTCTGATTCTATGAAATCAGACTTGTGGATGGGGTATATGCCATGTGCGTTGATTTACTAAAGCTTTTGACACTGATGTGGTATTTTCCTAGGAAACCACATCTGAGGTGAAATATTTCCTGGAGCTTACAGATCCAACAACATGCTGTCAGAAGGAAGCCCTGCTTCACATATAAGCTGGAAATATGTTTCAAGATCTTCATTAATGGTCAGGATGATCAACCAAGGAGCATGTTCATCACACCTGGGCAAACTCAGACTGATGTTATTTGAGGTGAGGCCTCAGCTGGAGCATGATGCCCGATGGGCACGACATGTCAAGCAAGGCACAGGCAACACCTTTGGAAATGTGAGCTAAGAAGTCAGTGATGGGAATTAAATTGGGCTGCTTTAAGGTAGAAATGTGTGACAACAGCCTCCAAACACACCAAAAGTTATCACTGAAGAGGCATGAAATGGGCTCTCCATGTTCACAGGGGATGAGGTGAAAATTGCAGCACAGCAGATTTAGGTTGTTTGCTAACTACATCCACTAGGAAGGATGTAAAGCCCTGGTCATGAGGGTCTGAACAGGCAATGCCTGTTGAGGATGATTTGGATACAGTTGGTGTTTCCTTGGGCCAAAAGATTCGAGTGAATGACTCTTTCCAAAGGTATTTTTATAAAATCATCCGTGTCAAGCTAGAATGCCTTAAATCCAGTTCAGCAATATCCTTAATCAAAGGCATTAGTACATGCCAGAGGCACTGGCAGAGGTCATTAGTGAAGGTTAGCAGCAGTTTAAGAAATTGCCACCTGCAGCCATCTGTGCTCTCACGACATTTTTATGCGGATTTTCAGGGTACCTGTTGCAACTTCAGCCGCAAGTCAGGGTGACAAACACACCCCACCCAGATGTCTCTGAATGAAGTCCATAAGGGAAAACACACTTCAGCCCCATTAGCCGCTGATGCTGCCACTCAGAAGGAGGCATTGAGTATCCACACCAGCAGAACAAGCAGAAGATGTTGACACTGGGTGAGGAAAAAACTGAGAAGGGGAGGGTAATAAAGTGGTTGGTGGATTTTTCCTCCACAGCTCTGCTGTTGCTCCAGTAAAATACTTTTCCCCAAGGCTTTCTTCTCACTGTGATTTCTTACTTCCTAAAGCTGTTCGTTTAGAAACTAGAAAAATTTCTGCCAGCTGCATAAATAATTTTTCCCTTCTGAAACCCCAAATTTCAGGGAATTGTTTAAAAGCATCCTGTCTCTTACTAGTACATGCAGAAGAGGCTATTAGAGAAATGAGAGGAATAATAATAATGAAGAGAGAATGCACATGGTGGTGAAAGTTTATGAATTAAAACTGTAGGCTAAAAACATTTCTCAGGTGCCACATGCAAGACAGTCCCAAGCAGCAGGCATTGTAAACTGGAAGAAATGCAGAATTTCTACAATAGTTTGGATGCTCTCACAAACAGTGAGTTTCAAGGCAGCTATCAGGATCATGTGTATAAATGTTACTGAAAAAATATACCTTTATTTTTTGAAATGTTTTTCTTAGCTCATTCTGTTACTTCAGTTCTATCTGAAGGGATACCAGATTGAGAAATATGTGTGTTTTGCTCTGCTTTTAATAACTTTATAATCTTAATGACGCACTGTGGGTTGTTACTACCTGTCTGTTTGGCAGGAACTGTGCAACTACGTAAATGTTATGCAAAATTATTTAATAGAAAAAAATAAAAGGCCAACTGGCATGTTTACGATGAAGAGAATGAAGAACAACATTTCCTTGAAGAATTGATTCAAATTAGGCTTGCATACTGTGTGCCAAGAAAACAAGGAAGTTTCATGTTAGCATAAATTTATGAAAATTAGTGTATACTCTTTATGTGATACATGCTAAAGGCAATGCTGGTGGAAAACACAGAAAAATGTAAAAAAGTTCATTCTTTTAAAGTCTTTCTACCTCAAATTCTGAAAAAATTGAAACTTCCTTGTTTTTTTCCACCAGGGAAAGGAAATACTTCAAGAGGTGGAGACTTTCTTGTGAATGTCTAAGCATAGCATTGGTATCAAAATCTGTATGTTTCAGTGTGTCCAATATATCCAAAATATTTTGCTCAGAAAAGGCAGGCATGTGTTACTATTTTCAATGCACTTCATGCAAAAAAAAGTCAATAATGAAACATTCGCTTTGTTGTTCCAGTTTTCACTGAGTCATTAAGGGTAGGGAACAGAAGAGACAGAGGGAGATGAGGCATCTTTGAACATAACAGATAGAGCAGACTACCAAGAAATTCAACCCCAAATGTCTAGACTAAGGGGAAAAACTTGAAAAGAATAAAAAAGCCAAACAATCCAAACATACAACGTGACTTGGAACAAAATCAAAAAATCAGAATTAAATGAAACTAACCCCCAGGCTGGGTTGGAGATGTTTTGATGCAATTTGGTAGACCAGCTAAGAGAATCACTGTCTGTTCCTGAGCCAGTTGCAAAGACCTGCCTCCGGTGAGCTCTTCTCCCATCTCAATGTCCCCATCTTCTCAAGGCAACAGTCAATCACTCCTCATTTTACCAGGCAGCTCCTCTCTCCTCTACCTGTCACTTATCTGAAGCTTGTCCTTGCCCTGAGCCTGACATCAGTTCCCTTGTCCCTCTGTAAAAGTGGCAGCACGCCCCTGATATCCTGTGATTCTGACATCGGTCCTCAAATTCCATGTTGACTTTGACAGAATTACATTTTTCAGCAAACTGCTTTACCCATGATTCTCCAGTTCAGCCAGTTCAGCCAGTTCAGCCAAGCAGCACAGAGACCTCAGTCTCAGCAGAAACTGCTTTTCAACCTGGTGAGCGGAGCTCACACATAGGGAAATCATACAGAACAGGGCTCCTCAGCAAGAGCCAAAATCTGTCTCCTTCATAGAAAGAAGTGAGAAATCAAATTTGGCATTCAGGATCCTGAAAGGGCAAGGCTGAGCTGAAGTTGTATTGCATGGGCTTCATTTAGACCTAGCGCGATCTGTGCAGCAGTTGATGTCTGTCCCCCTTATCTAACAAGACCTTGAAATGTACCTTCAACCTAAGTAGGTTGCTGTAATCTTCTGGGGCCTATACTAGCTTTCCACTTATGGAAATCAAACGTTGAACTCAGGGGATGAAATGAGGTGAAGGTAATTGCATATCTAGTCACAGGTATAAGATTCAGGGCACATGAAACACAAAATGGGGCTGAAGGCACGGTGAGAATCTCAATTTCAGGGCAAAAGGGTACATACAGCACTTGAGCTGAAGAAGTATCTTCAAGTCACTTAAAGTTCCTGTATATGAGTCTTCAGTTTTTGTGGTTCAGCAAGCAAGGAAATGCGAGGTGCTAGCATTGACATATATTTCACGGCAGGCCACTTTTGCCACAAAGCCCCAGCATGGCCAAGGCTAAAGAGGCCAGATGTCGAGAGGTATAAACAACCATCATGTGAGATCCTCTGGTGCATCATGAGGAAAGGAGGGCAGCTGACTAATCTTACTCTGACACTCGTTCTTAGTGTAAAGCCCTTTATAGTATGACATTCCTCAGCAATATCTCACACTCAGGGGACAAAGGGAAGGAGACCAGACATCCTTGGACAACTGTTGCTCACCATCAGCTTTACAAAGCTGCCTTCCAAAAAGCTCTAAGTCATCTTGTTTGCTTCCTTCTGAGGTTACACTGTTACCATCAAAGCAGTTCATCAACAGACCACTGATAAACTTATTATCAACAAAAATAGTTCCTTTTTCTACTGCTGGAAGACATGCGGCAATTTCAGTTCCTCAAATGAGCTGTATGGCTGTGACACTTCTTTGGGCCTGGCTTAGAGGTGCCCCATCTTTAACTTTATGGGATTTTTCTATAGGCTTAGTGAAATGCATAGATAAGACTTCACCTTTTTTTCAGCAATAGCACTACTGTTTAAAATTACCAATGTATTTTGCAAAAGCTGAAGCTCAGGTGGCAGTGTGCCATTTTCTGGTATGAAAAAGCTTTAAAACAAAAAGAAAATAAATACATCTTTAAATAAAACTATTATAAGTACAAATTCCTTTTTTCTTCCTTGTGAAATTCAACTCCTTTTCTGATGTTTGCACTATCAGGTAGATGACCCAGAGACTACTTTTTGTAATCAAGCATGAGAGCTGCAAATTCAAAAGGGCAGGCTGGAATGAAAAGGTATATAGAAAAAAACTGGAGTGAGGAACACTGTTATTTTGGACAGTGACTGAGCTTCATTTTCTCACTCTCTTCCCTAGTCCTGCTCTTTTACATATCCTGCTACTCTGCAACAATGGGTAGATACAAATGAGTGAAAGTGTTGAGTTTGTAGGAGATATGACATCCACTTGAAGAGTCTTAATACATTGGCTGGTGTTCAAGGGTATGTCGGTAACTAGTAAACTGAGAAGACTGAAGTGCAGATACTGTGTATTAATAAAAGGAGTGATGGAGGGCAGAGAAACCAGCTACTTCATAAGGTAGCAGTGGTGGCCCTAGAAATGAAAGGCACCCCGTGTCAGACACGGCCTACGCAGCTGTGCTGCTTTTCCCACAGTGGCCATCCCAGTCCCAGCTCCTGATGGTCCTAAGGTACGTGTGGGGGCCACCCGGTGCCTCAGTGGGGACAAGAGGCCGCCCAAACCATGTTAAAACGTGCGGTCCTGCGCTCTCCGAGCCTTCGGACGGGAGCAGAGGGCTGCCTCAGCACCAGGCCCCCGGCCGTGGCGCCTCCCGGTCCCCGGAGAGGGCTCGGCTCGGGGCGGCGTGCTGCCCCCCGGGGCGCCCCGGGACACCCAGCCGGGCCCGTCGGGGCTGCAGACCCCGCTCGCCGTCCTCGCACCAAGCCGGCCGGGCGGGGGGAGAGGGAAGGACGCGTAACCCCAGCGGGGCATGAGCGGCTCCCGGC